AAAAAAAAATAAAGTGTGTGCTTGCACACCCGGTGTTAGTCAGGTTTTCAGAACACTTCATCCCATGCATTGACACCATTTTATTGTTAAAAATGTGCTCCGGAGTGACAATATTTATCCTTGGCTTTCCCTGCGACTTGTGGGGGAGTGTTTATCGTCATGGAGGGACTACCGGGAAAGTCACACACCCACATGTGTACACACACACACACACACACACACACACACACACACACACACACACCACAGCTACCGCCATTAAGACAGCATCACATCACAATACTTTTGCCTTCAAAGGATAGAGAACTCTACATGGTAGATGGATCGGTTGGCTGGCTCTGGGTGACAGAGAACGTCATCTCCTTGAGTGGGAGCCAAGATGGGGGGAGATTTGTGGACACATTCATATATAAGCACATTACCCCAGCGATGAGGCCCCCAATATCCTTTCCAGGAAGGAGATAGGGACCCCTAGCTTCCCGGACTGTGTGAACAGCCCACCCCTGGAGTCCACACCAGTCCATCTCTCCAGCCCTCATGATCCCCACTTCCAATGTGATGCCATCAGGGCACAGAAAGTCCCTCCCGATATTCACATAACAGATTCCTTTTCACATGTGGCGGCATCCCCGGCGGGTCCCCGGTACTGTTTGAGAAGGGGGTTCCCCTCCTCTGTGGTGAGGGGCAGTGGATTCAGAGGCAGGTCGTTCTTCACATGGATCAGTTCAGGCTCTGAGCTTGGCGGCATCTTGGTACGGTCCACGTAACTCTGAAGCAGTCCTGCCCCAAACGCATCACCTTCCACATTGAGGATGGTACAGGACCTGTCCCTAAAGGGGCACAAGCATTGACAAAGTCAGAGGGAAGGGAGAGGAGGCCAGGCCCAGGCGGCCTGCCTGCTCCCGCTAGAAAACACGTTCCGTGAGACAGGGTCTTCTCTCCATAACTGTCCTGGAACTCACCATGGAGAGGGACCAGGCTGGCTTCAAATGCACAGAGATTAAAGGTGTGCAACACACACACACACACACACACACACACACACACACACACACACACGACACCCTTACTTTTTCAGACAACATCTCTCACTGAATCCACCATGATCACGTCAATCAGGGAGATGGACGGGCCAAGGAGCTCTTACAGACGCATCTGTCTCCGTCAGGCCCAGGTTCTACGTGGGCGGGAGGGATGCAAATAGGCCTCTACATGTGTAGCACATACTGTACTCTCTTCCCATTGTACAGATGGGGAAGTTGAGACACAGGAAGATTAAGGTCACATGGTTATGACAGAACTGAGATTAAGCTGCCTGTCCTAGGAGTCATGGCTCCAAAGTACCACGGCTCACTGCCTTTCTGGGGTTCCTTATAAAAACCCCAAAGATTTGGCCAAGTATAGGGGCTCGCACACGTATTTCTAGTACCACGAAGTCTGAGGCAGAAGGACCATGAGTTTGAGGCTTGCTTGGACTACATAGTAAGTGATAGAGCAGCCAGGGTTACATAATGAGATCCAGTCTCAGACAAGACAAAACAAAAACACCCCAAAGCAAACAAACAAATAATGGCAAGATGGCCCAGCAGGTAAAGGTGGTTCCTGTACAAGACTGAAGGCTTGAGCCTGATCTCCAAAGTCCACACAAAAGTGGACGGAGAAAACCAACCACTTCATGAAGCATACTCCATCCCCTATCATGCATGCACACACAAATAAAAATACATACATTATCATCATTATTTTTGTTTTGTTTTTCAAGGCAGGGTTTCTCTGTGTAGACCTGGCTGTCCTGAATCTCTTAAATTCACCTGCCTTTGCCTCCCAAGTGCTGGGATTAAAGGTGTGCGCCACCACCGCCTGAACATAAGGAGGACTCGGGTTCCACATGCTCCCTTCCAGACCCGTCTTGTCTTGCCTCCTGGGCTCAGAAAAGTCCCTAGGCCCTTTCCCAGGCGGCTCCTCGGGACCCCCCCCTGACTCCCAAGGCCCCACTCACACTAGCCAGTCCACGGCCAAGATCAAGGAGATGTCCTTGACAGGGAGGCTGACGGCTTCCAAGATGATGGCAAGCGTGAGGACGCCCCCTGCTGGGATGCCTGCGGCCCCCACACTGGACGCAGTAGCTGTGACCCTGGGGAGGGAAGGGCAGTGAGATGGAGTATTGTGATGGGAAGGAGGGGCAGGGCTCCTGGTCACAACCCGGCAGCACTCACAGGATGGTGATGATCTTCACGAAGTCCAGGGACACCCCGTTTAGCTGCGCAATGAACACCGCGGCCACACACTGGAACAGCGCCGCCCCGTCCATGTTGACCGTGGCGCCGATGGGCAGGATGAAGCGGCTGATGTGTTTGGCCACGCCGTTCTTCTCCTCCACGTACTTCATCATCAGGGGCAATGTGGCAGAGCTGATGGAGGGAGTCAGTGAGCCTGGGTGAGCGCTCCTGGACCGCAAAGGCCAGGCCCACAGTCCAACGGGGCCACTCCCAAGCTGAGGGTGTCATCCACCACTCAGCCCTAACCCACATCATCCGGGGACCCTGCCCACCTGCCCAAACTCCCTTCCCTCCCATCATCCAGAGGATCTAGCTCTCCAGTGTCCTTCCCGTCCTAAAGCAGGCACCCAGGATCCTGCGAAACTCCTGCTTGGAGTACAGTGTGCTGTGTGCAGGAGGACTAAGGTCTCAAATGCTCCCTCTAGACCCCTCTTATCTTTCTTCCTGTGTCCGGAAGTCTGCAAACACCCACAAAAAGCTGGATGTAGTGACACATCTTGTAACCTCAACCCCAGGGAGGGACCAACTGTGTGTGTGCGCGTGTGCATGTGTGTGTGTGTGAACGGTTTCCCCCTTCCTGAGACAGGGTCTCTCACTGTGCAGCTGGGGCTGGCCTGGAACTTGTTTGTAGACCAGGCTGGCCACTGACTCCCAGGTGCTGGGATTATAGCACCCCCACGCCCAGCAAGGATTCCACATTTGAGAGCAGCCAGGGTTAATGTGGTGAGTGAGACCTTGTCTCAAAATAAAGAGGGCCGGGAAGTAGGTCAGCGGTTAAGCCCGGTGAGGGCTGACGGGTGTGGCTTTCTGTGGAAGGGCCGATCCCTAGCATGCACAAGGGCATGGTTCCACGAAAAAAGAGGAAAGGGGGCTAAGGTTGGCTCAGTCGGCAAGCACGACGCGCCTGAGTTCAACCCCTAGTGTAGGAAAAAGGATCCATTCCCTCCAGCTGTCCTTGGATCTCCACACATGTACACATGTACACAAGAATAAATGCTTTTGTTGTTTTGGTTTTTCGTTTAAAAAAAAAAAAGGGAGGGGGTTGTCTGAGGAGACGGCTCTAATTGCACAAACAGGAAGCCCAGAGTTCAAGTCCCCGTTCCCATGTAAAAAAGTCAGTCATGCAGTACAAGCGTCTGTAATCCCAGCAGACCTCCCTACGGGGAGGGGAGGGAGGCCAGAAACTTGAAGGCCAGAGAGCCCGAGCCAGAGAGGCAAAACAAAGAGGGTGGTTTCTGACTTACTGAGTGTTCACACCTATACGACACACACAAGAACAACAATACAACAGACAGCAAAAAAGACAGTGTTTCTCTCGTTTCTTTCAAGAGCAGTGGAACCCAGGACCCCAAGCAGCTGATGGAAGGGTCCGGAGAGATGGGACAGTGGTTAAGAACAGTGCTTGCTCCTCCAGAAGCCCTGGGTTCAATTGCCAGCTCACGGCTGGAACTACAACCCCAGGGGAATCAAACACTCTCCTCTTGCCTCTGCACACCACTACCCCCACTGCAGACATACATGCAGGTGAAACGCTGATATACACAAAACACAAAGGCTAAGAAGGAAAAGAAAAACTCATTTTAGGGCTGGAGAGATGGCTCAGAGGTTAAGAGGACCTGAGTTCAATTCCCAGCAACCACATGGTGGCTCCCAACCATCGGTAATGAGATCTGGTGCCCTCTTCCGGCCTGCAGGCAGACATGCAGGCAGAACACTGTATACAAAATAAATAGATCTTAAAAAGGAGAAGAAAAAGACATCCTGTGTCCACATCAAATGGCTCCAATCACACTATTTCACAGGTCTTCAAACACCAATAGCCACCTCCCGGGTCCCTTTGTTACAACTGGTAACAGGTCTCACCTAGAAGAGGTCCCAAAGGCTGTGGCCAGCGGCGTCATGATACCCCACAGGAATCGATAGGGGTTTTTGCGGGTGAAGACGAAATAGATGAGGGGCAGAACCAGGAGCCCGTGGATGGCATGGCCCAGCAGGCAGCACAGGATGTATTTGCCGAGGCTGATGAAGAGCTGGCTGACGTCTTTCATCTCCACAATCTTGCTGGCCACCAGGAACAAGATGCCCACAGGGGCGTACCTGATCATCACCGAGACAGGTTAGTGCTGCTGACCACGTCACCGGCACAGCCAGGCCCTGTGCTCGGCACTTCAGCTGAGCACACGTCCCAGCCTCTCCCTCAAGTCTGGGGTTGCCCAGGGTACCGCCCCAAGACTGGCCTATGGGACACTCAGCTACCTGTAGACACGCTTCTTCCCTTTGAAGGCAGCCTGGCTGCGAGTCCCCATCCCCGCCAGAACAGCAGCCTCAGGTGTACACTTGACAATGAATGAAAGAAGAACCCACCGCTCTGAGTCATCTGCTTTCTGGGTTTGCTTGTTATAGCAGCTGCTGTCAGAAACACTCTCAGTAAAAAAGAAAAAGGTGTGACGGGGTCACGCTAACTCCCAGGTCTGTGGCATTGGGAACATACCCCAAGCCTTTGATCACGGCTGACTGACAGCCCAGAGAGTTCCTATTACAAGCATGTCAGTCGCAGCCACTGGAGCCAATACTGAATGTGCATCTAAAAAGGACTACAAAGCTGCCCTTCCAGACACACAGGCATTAGTTAAGTTGTGAGCATCACAAGTCCAAGGCCAGGAATGGAGAGATGGCTCAGCAGTTACAAGCACTGGGTGCTTTCCCACAGGATCCAGGTTCAGTTTCCAGAACCCACACGGTGGCTCACAACAGCCTGGAACCCCAGCTCCAAGGAATCTGGTGCTCTCTTCTGACCTCCACAGGCACTGAATACACATGAAAAAAGTTTAAGACCACGAAACCCTGTCTCAAAAAGTAAAGAGGGCTGACAAATGTGGCCCAGTGTAGAACCCCTGCCTAGAATCCCCCAGTGAGGGGCTGGGGGTGTGGCTCAGTGGTAAGCCCCTGCCTAGAATCCCCCAGTGAGGGGCTGGGGTGTGGCTCAGTGGTAGAGCCCCTGCCTAGAATCCCCCAGTGAGGGGCTGGGGGTGTGGCTCAGTGGCAGCTCAAATCTCTGCTTTTAGTCTTCAACACAAAATGAAGAAAACACCAATCACTAACTTACAGGATGAGTTGAGACACTAGCTGGGAAGCATATGTACACAGTCCCACTTCTGGTCCAACAACCATCCCTGTCTCCCAGAGCAAAGACCCCAAGGTGCACTTGCTGTCAGCTAGGATTCCCAATACCTTCCTGCCTAGCTGCCATGGCAGAATGTCTCCTCAGCTTTTTCCTTTACACAAAATGGCACCAATTCCCAGCCACCTGTGCAACTGGGAAGAGCCAGTTGGCCAAGCCCTAGCCACTCAGACTTGCCCAGAAACTTTGTAAGTGCAAATGCTTAAATAAATATTTGCCATTGTTTACTGAGCATGGGACAGACCAGGCACTGTCCTGAGAACAGTATGCACATTAACTCTTTTGTGACCTCTGAAGCAGCCGTCACGGGTCCCAGTGTCTACGGAGAAAAATCTAGGCCCAGGAAATCAAGTCTAACTTGAGAGTAGAAGTCACAGTGGGAATGGGCAGCACCAGGGTGGGAAACCGGGCTGTCTTGGAAGCTGTTCTCACTCACATTACCGCTTCGCTGCTCCAGCACAGTGATCTTACTGACCAAGACATACTAGGGGTATGGTTGTGGCTCAGTGGTAGAGTCTAGAGCCCAGAACTCCCTCCCACCCCCAAAGCGAAGGGCTGGGGGCGTGGCTCAACCCAGGAGTACTTACTTAACAGTTACTTGGCTCTGGTTCAGATCCCCAGCACCACACTCACAAATAATACTGAATGTGGTGGTGGATGCCTGTGTCCCATCACTTGGGTGCAAGAATAGGGGAACTGAGTTTGAGGCAAGCCTGGGCTACATAGTGAAACCCAATTTCCAAAAATCTACAACAAAAAGGCAAACCCAATTAGTATGGCTTTTTCTAGTTTTTTTGTTTTTGTTTTTGTTTTTGTTTTTTTTTTTGAGACAGGGTTTCTCTGTGTAGCTTTGCGCCTTTCCTGGGACTCACTCTGTAGACCAGGCTGGCCTCGAACTCACAGAGATCTGCCTGGCTCTGCCTCCAGAGTGCTGGGATTAAAGGCGTGCGCCACCGCCACCGCCGCCCGGCTTTTTTTTGTTTTTTGGAGACAGAGTTTCATTATGTAGCTCTGGCAGTCCTGGAACTCACTATGTAAACCAGTCTGGCCTAGAACTCACAGAGATCCACCTGCCTCTGCCTCCGAGTGCTGGGATTAAAGATGTGCACCACCACTGCCTGGCTTGTTTGCTTGTTTTTTTATAATTTATTTATTTGTATTTCATGTGCATTGGTGTTTTGCCTGCATGTATGTCTGTGTGAGGGTGTCGAGTCCCCCGGGACAGGAGTTGCAGAGTTATGAGCTGCCATGTGGATGCTGGGAATTGAACCTGGGTCCTCTGGATGAGCAGCCAGTGTTCTTAACCACTGAGCCATCTCGCCAGCCCCGGCTTGTTTTGTTTTTTAAGACAGTGTCTCTCTGTGTTGCCTGAGTGGCTTGGTACTAGCTATGTAGAACAGGCTGGCCTTGAACCCACAAAGATCCATCCACTTGCCTCTGCCTTCCCAGTACTGAGATTAAAGGAATGTTTCACCATGCCTGGCTGAAGTTTTTCCATTTGATTCTATATGTATGAGTGTTTTTGCCTGAATGTATGTCTATTCACCATGTGCATACCTGATAGCCAGTAGAGGGGGTCTTATTCCCTGGAGCTGGAGTTACACATGGTTGTGAGCCACCATGTGGGTGCTGGGAATCAAACCCAGGTCCTCTGTAAGAGCACTGAGTGAGCTTAATCCCTGAACCATCTCTCCAGCCACTGGAAAGTTACTTTTCTTAAAGATTTGTTTTTTATTTTACATGTAAGGAGGCTTTGCTTGTATGTATGTATGTATGTATGTATGTATGTATGTATGTATGTATGTATGGGCACCACACTGGCCACAAGGGGCAACAGACTCCCCTGGAATCAGAGTTAGAGAAGCTTGCGAGCCACCCTGTGGATTCTGGGTACTCGATCTAGGTCTTCTGGAAGAGCTGACAGGGCTCTTAACCACTGAGCACTCTCTCCAGTCCCAGAAAAGATTTTTTTTTTTTGCTTTTTGTTTTGGTTTAGTTTTTCGAGACAGGGTTTCTCTGTGTAACAGTCCTGACTATCCTGGAACTGGCTTTGTAGACCTGGCTGGCCTCGAACTCACAGAGATCCGCCTGCCTCTGCCTCCGGAGTGTGCTTGTTTTAAGTAGCCATCTTGTCTTTCCTCTCAGTTTCTGATCTTTAGATCCAGGCCAGGTGGGCAGGGTCAGTTTGAGACCAGATGGATAAGGAGGAAACCAGAGGCATCTGCGTGTGGTTTTTGCTTTCATTTCCTGAAGTCATTTAACAAAAACCAGAGGAGAGCACTCACATCTGTGGCTGCTCACTAGTTAGGAGCCAGGCCCAGGGGATGGAACGCAGGCGCCGTGAGGCAAGCCGAGCGATACCATGGCTTCTATGAGTCACCTACACTTCTATGGCAATTGGGTAAGGCAGGCACCATTTCAGATCCTTAATTCAAAAGGAACCATGTCGTTACATCGAAAGCTGTGGTACATCAGTTTGGCTGTCTTCCATCGCCCTCTAGTATGATCAAGAAGGCAAATGCTTCAATCCTAGCACCGATGGAATACAGAATGGTCACCATTTTACAGATGGGGAAACTGAGGCACGGAGAAGGCAAGTCACTTGTCCAAGGCCACATAGCTAGGGAATGGTGAACACTGGGTTCTAATAAAGACCCCCTCAGGCTCTGGTGAGCTGCACCAGGAGGCCCCCCCATATCTACAACAGACACGCCCATCCCTTGTCCCCACCACCTACCACATAATCCAGGAGACCAGGACCATGGTGGCGTCGTTGAAGGAGTTGAAGAAACGAATGAGCAGTTCTCCGTCAGGCCCCAGCTTCCTCAGGGCCACACCGAAGACGATGGCGAACACCACCAGGCCCAGGATGTTCATGCCCTCTACCTCACACCCCAGCTTTGGGAAAGGAACAGAGCGGGGTGGAGAAGAGAGCGCGTTAACCCAGCTACACTGCACTTGTCCTAGGTCCTGCCGAGGCCCAGGAAACCAGATCAGGGGTCACCTGGAGAGAGCAGGGCTGGAACTGATGAGTCCTGGTTATTTTTTTTTTATCAGTTTTACACAAGCCAGACTCATCTGGGAAGAGGGAACAACCTCAGCTGAGAAAAAGCCTCGTCTATCAGATTGGCCCGTAGGCAGATCTGTGCAGTGTTTTCTTGATCTGATTGGCCCGTAGGCAGATCTGTGCAGCATTTTCTTGACTAACAATTAATGAGGGAGGGACCAGGCCACTGTGGTAGGTGCTGCCACTGCTGGGCAGGTGGTTCTGGATTCTCTAAGAAAGCAGCTGAGCAAGCCATGGAGAGCAAGCCAGTAAGCAGCCTTTCTCCTTGACCCCTGCCTGCTTCAGTTCCTGCCCCCGAGGCCCTTCATGATAGATGCATAGAGCCAAGGGAACACAAACCCTTTCCTTCCTACGTTGTGTTTGGTCATGGTGTTTCTCACAGCACACACAATCTCCAAAAGCAATAGAAGGTGAGCATTCAGAGAACGAGAAGAAACCTACCCACTCTGGCCAACAGGAAATGAACTAGGCAGACGAAGTTTCAAGGAAGCTGAGGGGGTGGAGAAAGTATGCATTCTAGAGAGACGGGGGTCATGGAGGGTGGGGACTCTGGCCAATGAACAGGATGAGATTTGCACTGTGTAAAGGTGGGGGAGATGATGGGATCAGGTAGTGGGAGGGTGAGGAAGGACTGAATCCACCTGTGAGGGGGCTGGAGGTTGATCCTCAGAACCTCAGGAGACATTAAGGACAATGGAATTTCATAGGGTCTCTTCTGTATGTATACAGAGATAACCTTGAACTTTTTTTTGGAGGGGGGGATTCTCTGTGTAGTTTTGGTGCCTATCCTGGAACTCACTCTGTAGCCCAGGCTGGCCTTGAACTCACAGAGATCCGCCTGGCTCTGCCTCCCTAGTGCTGGGATTAAAGACGTGCGCCACCACCGCCCAGCTAACCTTGAACTTTTGATCCTCCTGCCTCTACATCCCTAATGTGGGATCACAAGCACACACCACCACTCCTGGTTTACTGGTGCTAGGGACCAAGCCCGGGGTTGGTCACAAGTTCACACCAAACACTCCACCTGCTGAGCTCTATCTTCCCAGCTACGAGGACCGCAGACTTTAGATCAAATTTCACACTGTACATTTTTTTGGGGGGGAAAGACTCGGACAGCAAAGGGTGGGAGGCAAACTGAAAAGCCACAGTGGGCCTGTGGTGCAGCTTCCTCAGCCCTTGTCCTGCTCACCTGGACCATGGTTCCGTTGATCTCTCTTTGTGTACAGGCAGGTGGCTGCAAACAGGGTTGGAAGGATTAGTGACATGTCAGCGGTCAGCATGGCTCCCCGCTACCACGCTGGGAACAGAATGCCCAAAACTAGCTCCACCACCGCCCCAGGCCCGGCCCCACGCAGCGCCCCCCAGCTTTTGAGACAGTCTCATATAGCCCATGCTGGCCTAGAGCTCCCTCTGTAGCCAAGGATGACCCTGAAATTTCCGTACTCTTTTTTTTTTTTTTTTTTTTTTTTTTTTTTTT